GCCTGGAGGGGCCGCCGTCCCAGGCCCCCGACAGGCCGGACAGCAAGAGGGGGAGCCCAGCAGCCAGAGCGTCTGCGTTTAAGCCTCTGGTGAAGAGTGGGAGCCGCGCTTCCTTCGTGCCCAGCCTCGGGCCTCTGAGCTTGGGCCTCAGCTTGACGAGGCGGCCCAGCGCCCGCTCCCTGAGCTCGTTGGCCGGCTCACACCCAGGGGGCCCCCTGGGCTCCAAAAGGAACGCGATCACCAGCTCCTACAGCTCCGCCAGAGGCCCCTCCCAGCCTGGGAAGAGGCGCGCGCCCCTCCAGATGCCCGAGTGGCCGGTGAAAAAGAAAAGCGGTCCTCGGCGTCACTTCCGCCGAGGGCACCGATCCTCAGGCGGCATCTCCAGGTCCACGCGCTTCCCCAGCGCCTGCGGGAGAGGGAACCAGTGTGGTCCACTCGCCTCCGGGGACGCCCAGCCTGCTGGCCCCACTCAGGCCCTCCCGGCCAGAACCCCTTCCAGGCCCCTCTGCAGGCTCCGAGCCCACAGCTGCTGTCACCCCTCTGACCCCTGCTCCTCCCTCCTCGCCTGCCACCGACACCACGCGGCCACCTTCCGCCTGTCGGGCTGGCGCGTTTCCCAGGCCCCCAGGCCCACCTGCCATCGCCCCCACAGCACCCTCTGCACAAAGGACTGTGTTTGGAGTGGTGAGGGGACCCGCTCACCATCTTTCTGCCTCTGCACCTCCTGCTGCCACGTCTGCTGACCCCACCTCAAAGCCCGGTTGGAGGCCCCCACCTGACAATGAGGCGCGAGTCTCCTTACCTTCCAGAATCTCAGCCACGACTGCAGCCCGATCCCCTCCAGGCCTCCCGATGCCCACCTTCAAGCCCATCTTTGGCAGCATCGAGCCGCTCCGCACTAGGCCTGTGATCACGCCTTTCTCCTTCAAGCACCCGTCTCCTCCAGGTCCTCCTGCTGTGACCCTCCTCTTCCACAACCCGGGCACCACCAGCCCTACAGCCACCTCCGCCGCCCCTGCCAGCACATCCACAGGCTCCTCTTTCAAGCCACCTCGGGATTTTGGTGGAGCAGGTGTTACCAGGACCGTAGGCAACACTTACTCGGACTCTTCCCCTTCTCACACTTTCCTCCTTGGGGCTTCCCATGCCTTCAGGGCCAACCTTTCGAACCCAGCCACAGGCTTCACTTCCCCACCTCCCCAGCTTCCCACCATTTCCATGGTAAATGCCGTCAACATCTTTAGCCAGGTTCTTCCCAGCGCCGCCCAGATATCCCCTAGGAAAAGCACCGCCCGTTTTAAGGGCAAGGGCAGCCCCCTGTCGGCCTCCGCCCTCGTCACCCCAAGCCAGCCCACATTGCCATCGGGCATCTCCAAGCCAACCCCAGCATTCACACTTCCGCTGGGGTCAGGCTCCAAGCCACTTTCCCCACTCTGCCTGGGAGTCACGCCCCGGCCTGCATTTGGGGCTTCAGGTGGGCAAAGGCAAGGGGCCCACCAACCAGCCCTTAGCCCCAGCTTCAAGAGCTCTTCTGTGTTAGGAAACTCGGCAGTGGTCCCCCCAACCCCAACCCCAGCTCCAGCTCAGCCAGCCTTCAGCAGCCCCACATGGTCAGCATTCGGGGTGTTGACACCCTCTGCCTCCACCTTCCACGTCCCTGCCAGCATCCAGACAGGTGCAGGCAGCACCCCAGCAGGTTTTCCCTTTGGTCCAGCTAGTGCCACTGGTTTTGGGGTTGTCCCCCAGCCCCGCCAGAATGGGGCTCGGGCCTCAGTGTTTGGCATCACAGCCCCACGACCTTTTGCTTTTGGGGGGTTAGTGACCCCTATGGACTGTGGGGAGTCTGGGGACAGCATGGCTGTCCCAGACATGAGCTCCACCTCTGGAGTGTTCTCCATCGGAGCCATGCCCAGTGGGGCCAAGCATGCCGTCACACCCTTCGGAAAAGGCTGGAGTCAGAACGCCCAGGGCCTGACCCCCCAGAGCACCCCTTTTGCCTTGGGGAGGCCCAGTATTTCTGCAAGAAAGATTATGTTTGGAGGCCCTGCCATGGCCCCCTTAGCTCACAGCCTCCCTGTCCCTAGACCACTTAAGACAGGCAGTAGCTTTGGCTTAGGGATTCCCTCTCCGCCTGCCCAGGGCTCCCTTGGGAGAGGGTCTTTCCGATCAGCAGTCCCTTCATTTTCCATTGGTGCCAAACCAAAAACCCCAAAGAGTCGGGAGTCAGGGCATTCCCGAAGGCATCATGCCCACAGGAAATAGCTGTGTCCCGCACCCTCACCCTGACTCGGACCTCAGTGTCCTTGGGAAGAGCCTCCATATCCTCTAATTCTCTAAAGTAAAAATACCCAGATTTAAGGCTAGAGCTTTGTGTTTACCCGTGGGTCCTCATCCTGTCTAGAAGGTGGAGCACTGGGGTGTCT